ACTGTAATGTATGATACAGTGTGTCAATCTGGGAAGTCTAGAAACTTCGCTAACCCAGCAGTTCTCCGTGCTGCTGTGTGGAGAACATGCCATACTGCTCTAGGATGCTGCTCATCTTGTCCATTTGAGAAGTTTAGTGGACTACACTGAGCTAAGTGGCTCAGCAGGAGGCCAGGGTCCTCACTTTGTAAACATCCTGACCCTATGCAAGAGAAGCACAGGGAGATGGTGTGAGTGCGACACCCACTGAAGGACACGTAGCCTAATAATATATAAAGGAGGAAAAGAGTTTGCTCTCCCCATCCTTCCTGCTCTTGGTGCTTTTGCTGTCTTCTGCCACCTTGAACTGCTGCCCCTCAGCCACACCATGCTGCCTTGGAGCCAGCTGAGTATGGACCAAGTCCCTATAAACTTTGAGCTAAATAAACCTTTCCTTCATTAACTTTGGGTGCTGGGTATTTTATGTGAGCAAAGAGAGAAAAATATCCAAGACAGAGTCCAATTTGCAGCTTTTTGTATTGTATTATGTAAAATGTCCAATTTTCAACAAAAAAATTTCAGAATGCACAGAAAAATCTGAAACATACGGTCCGTATACAAAAGGGAAAGAACAGACAATAAAAACTATTTGTGAGGAAAGTCAGATATTTCATTCATTAGGCAAAATATTTTAATCATTAATTTAAAACATATTCAAGCTACATGTGGTGTTGCACACCTATAATCCCAGCACTAGAGAGGCTGAGGCAGGAGGATCATGTCTGCCTGAACTACACAGTAAGACCCCATCTCAAAAAACCAAAAAAAACAAAACGAACAAACAAAAAAAAAAACCAAGGAAAAGTAAGAAAAAAGCCCATTCAAATAAATAAAGTAATCCATATTTTAAAAATAATAGGAAGAATAAGAACAATGACTCAAAACATTGTACAAAACATATAGATTTAATAATAAAAGAAGCAAACCAATATTGCAATTAAAAAAAAGACAGAAGTGAAAAATTCACTAAAGTGGTTCAACAGCAAATTTCAGCAAATGAAAGAAATGGTGAATTTAAAAATAAGTAACCTGAGATAATCTAGTCTATATTTCAAGAAAAAAAGAATGACAAGAATGTAAAAGGTCCTCAGTATCCTGAAGGATGCAATTTCATTTACAGCAAGATGTCCTTTCACAATGAAGGACAAATTAAGATATTCTCAGATACACAAAATCTGAGAGAATTTGTCACTAACAAAGTCACCCTATAGGGAATACTTAAAGGAATCTTTGGGATAAAATAAAGATGACAGGTCACACCTTGCATCTACATGAAACTAAAATGGATCAGAGATAATAAGAGACACATCTATGAATGCTTAAAAGAAAACATAGAAGTCATAGTGACCTTTCATTAGGCAATATATTTTAGATATTTTAGATAGATATTTTAGATATTTTAGATATCCCAGTAAAACACAAGAAGTAAAAGAAGAAGCAGACACGTTAGACTTCCCCCAAGTTAAAACCTTTCTGCTTCAAAGGGCACCATCAAGAAAATGAAGACGCCTCAAGAACGTCAAAAAGAAATCTTCAGATTATCTATCTGATAGGGATCTTGTCTTCAGAATTATTTTTTAAAACCTCATAAATTCAAGAATTAGAAGAAATCCTAATTTTAAAATGGGCAACCCACTTGAGTTTGCATTTCTCAATATAAAATATACAAATTGCTAACATTAACATGAAATACTGCTCAATATAATTAGACACTATCAAAATGTAAATTGACACCACAATGGGACAATACTTTATATCAACTAAAATAATTATAAACAAGAAGGACAAGTATAGTGAGCATGTGGGCAGCCTAGAGCCCTACACACTGCTAGTGGGACTGACATTTCCTCAAAGTGTTACACAGTTACTACCGACTCCAGCAGTTCTGCATGTAATTCTCTCTACCCAAGAGAATTAAAAATGCACGTTATACATGAACATTCATAGCGGCATTATTCATTAACAGTCATACAAGTCGAAATGACCAAATGCTCTGCAGTTAATACGTACATTTTAATACAGTATATTCCTATGATACAGTATTAGCAATCATAAATGAATAAAGTACTAACAGATGCCACAACATGTCTAAACTGTGAAAATATTTTTCTAAGTCAAAGGAGCCAATCACAAAATGTGCTGCATTGTGTGACTGCATTCATTTGGAATATCCAAAATAGTCAAATTCAAAGAAACACAAATGCAGCAGTAGTCACCAGGGCTAAGGACAAGAAGGATGATAATTTATTGCAAAAGCACACGGCCTAATGTTCTGGCATTAGTTGATGTGATAACTGGCTAATTCCATGAGTATACTAAAACTGTATAATTGCACACTTTAAATTGATGAATTTCAAAGAGTTTAAACTGTATTTCATTGTTTTTAAAAGTTATTGCCATAATATGAAGAAAAGCATATACCATCTTAATAGATATTCCAAAAGCATTAGATAACATTTAAAATCTGTTTATTTTTGATATTACAACAGCAAATGATTTTGCTAATCTAACCATAGTATCTGAAGAAACCATCACAATTAGAAGTGATACGTTGAAAACTTTCTTTCTCAGATGTAGAAGAACCAGAAAGCATAAGGCTCAGAAAGGAGAAAACTAACTTATTTGCATAATGTGTCTGTATGCTTAGAAAATACAAATGAATCTAGACAAACTATGAAATGTATTAAGGGAAATAGCAAAGTTCTTTGATGCAAGGAGATAGAGAAAGAAAAAAATTAAACAGTATAACTCATGATAACATCACAACTTCCACAGGTTGACAAAAAATTTAAGGCAAGATTTTTATGGATATGCTTGCAACACACTATTGAGAAATTTTAAAGTACCTCATTTAGAATACTCAGTTAATCCACACAGAGTAGTATATACCTGCAATCCCACCACTCGAGGAGGCTGAGGCAGGAGAATATCAAGTTCAAGCCCACCCTGGGCAATTTATTGACTTAGTGAGAGCATCTCAAAATAAAAACCAAAAAGATCAAAAATGCCTGGAGTTGTAGCTCAGGGTAAAGGCCTTGGATCTCATTCCCAGTATCACAAGTAAATATAACAATAATAATGATAAAAATCTTTAAAATAAATTATTCTATTAAATATTCCCACAGTATATCATTTGCAGTCATTTGCGCCTTCTATGTTATAAGGAATTTTTTCCCAACTTGACATATAGATTTAATGTACCCCAAATTTAAATATAAAACAATGCAAAATTAGCATTTGTAGAAATTACAAACTGATTTTTATAATAGACCAAATGATCCCAAGAACAAAGAAAGCATATACTATTCAATGTAAAGACTTCTTATGAAGTTATCATAACACAACACACTATTGACTTACTCCTATCAAAATAGTGTCAAGAAATTGATACATATAATCTATTACTTGATTGATAAGTGGGCTATTACTATGCAGAGAAAAAGGATTATCTTCTTAAAAACAAAATATTGTAGGTCAATTGATTATACACATACAAAAACTTCTTACTGCACACAAAAATTAATTCCAGAATTATGGCAAATGAAAAATGGAATTCAAAAACAACAGCAATCCTAGTAGAAACATAAGGAAAATTTTTCTATGTTTGGAAGATAAGCAAAGATTTCTTAACACACACATCACAAAAGAAAGTTGGCAAATGTGGACTTCTCAAAATTAAGATTTTCTATTCCACATAGCTGCAAAAAGAGAGTGGAAAGTCAACCATATAATGGATCCAATTTGTGTTATTCAGCTTTCTATCACCGTAACAAAATATTTGAAATGAACAATGTATAGAAGGACAGATTTATTTTGCTTCACAGTTTCAGAGGTCTCAGTCCATGGTTGGTGGGCTCCTCACTTTGGGTCTGTGGCGAGGCAGAAAAATATGCTCATCTCACTGCGGTAGGAGAGGGTACACCAGGAGCCCAAGAACCCTTCTAGAGTACCTGATCCTCTTCACAGCCAAGCTCTCCAATTCCTGCCTCTTGGTTCCATCACCTAAGGTTGTATGTCTTCTCCTAGCAACATACCTTTTAGCTGGGTGCCTTTGGGGACTTTGAAGATTCAAACTATACACACACACACACACACACACACACACACACACACGTATCCAAAATGCATACAAAACTTTCAATTAACAGCAAAAACACCATGGAGAAATGGGCAAAATATTTGTACAAACAAGGTCATTGTCACAGAAAAGGATATTCAAACCACCAAAAATTTGAAAGTGTGATCAATTTTAGCGTAACAACATGATTTAAAACCACAAAGAAATCTCACAATACTCTCTCTAGCATTGTTTGAATAAAAGAGACTGACCTTGCCAAGGATCGGGAAAGATCTGTAACAAGTATAACTTCTATATATAGGAAGATCTAAAACAAGCATAGCTTTTATATGTAGCTGTTAGGAGCATAAATTGGCACAACTATTTTAGAGAACATTTTTGATGAATAAATCAATAACCACATTCAGCAAAAGACACATAAGAGTGGTCATAGCATTGTTATTCTTAATAGCTGGAAACTAGAAACAGCTAAAATGTCTATTGAAAGCAGAACAGAGAAATATAATGTAGCATAATCCTATTAGAATTTACATAACAATGAGAATGAATGAAATGAAAAATGAAAACTTGACGAATTTCTCAAACACAATGCTTAGCAAATGCAGAAAGATACAAAAAGGTTACGTACTGGATGATTCTGTTTAGGTAGCTCAGAAGTAGAGCTACCTAAGGTTATAACAGCCAGGGTAGAGATTTCTTCTGAGAGGGTTAGGTAAGACTACAAGGCAGTTGGGGCATTTCTAGGGTGTGGTTAATATCCTGTTTGTTGATCTGGGGTCTGCTCACCTTAAATTTTACTCAATTGTGTATTTGTTTGCATACATTCCTTTATGAACCGTACAAACAAAGAAAAACTTGAAAAAGAAATGAAACAGACACCTACATTGCTTTCCATTTCCCTGCTGCGGTGAGAAGCAAATCCTGCTGATGTTACTACTTTCAGTTTGGTTTCTAAACTGAGAGCATTTTAGAAAATTGGGCCAGGAGGCGTTCACCATCTCCAGGACAGGTTCACAGCCTTCTTTTGCAGCCTCACAGAAAGATCTACAGGGCTGGAGGCCGTGCCTGTAAGAAAAGAAAAAGGTGAAAAATCAAAGTTTTTATAATATATTTCTCAAAATAATAATGATATCAAAGCTGGCCACCAGCCTGGTGTGGTGATGTATCCCTGTTACAATTCCTGTGCTTGGGAGGCTGAGGCAGAAGGATTTCCAGGAGTTCAAAGCCAGGCTGGGCTATATTGTGAGTTCAAGGCCAGTCTGGACCACTACAATGGGACCCTGTCTCAAACAAACAAAACAAAAAAAACCCCAGAAAAATAGCAACAGCAAAAGTAACGTTTGCCACCAATGGCATAATATTATGTTAACTTATAATTCCTATAGTAATTATAGTTCGACTTTCAGTCTTATGACAACAAATTTCAGCCATTATCTACAGCAGTAATGGTAAACTTTTTAGAGACAATTGCCCAGACTGCAAACTATACCTCACTTATTTATCACAAAGTGCAACATTGAAATTAAGTCTAAACACTGAGGTTTTAGTTTAGAAAAAAAAAAAACTCAGACATTAACATCTTTTTTCATAAAAGAAAATCAACACACACGCATATGTTCACCGCCACTGCCCTAGAGTCTGGAGGCAATAAGCTAGCTCCATAATGTATCCTGTAACTATCTCTCCTAAAGCATTTATCTCAAATGACTGTTTTAAAATATCCTATGCCAAAATACACCAGTCAATGAAAAAAGAGCTCTATTCCATATCAAAAGGAGAAAATTAACATGGAGATGAAGGCCCCCAAATAGCAAAGGCAGAAGTAGGTCAAAAAAATAGGTTACCCTCATTTGTTATTTTCCCTTTGAAGTTCAAAGTATATCGGAGAGAGACCAAGAGAAAGTTGTTCCTTGACCTCCCAGCCTCCCCAGAAAGAAACGTTGGAAGACAAGTGGCAACTAGGAAGGCCCGGGGTGGTTATTTATCTTTTCAGATTTCCCTTCCGTCTTCTGCAAAGTGGGAAGAGGAAAACAATTCTCTGTTCACAGAAAAGTCATGATGCCCCTGGAACCAACATGGAACCAAACACGGAGCCGAATCCTCCCAGATCCGCAGCTTTGCGGAAGGAACCTTGGGTACTGATAGTGGAAAGCCTGTGATCCAGATGGCTTTGTCTACCTACCACTACAGTAACACCTTTCACAATCCTGGGCATCTGCCAAAGGCAATTCAGATAATTTTAAGGAAACTTGGAAAGAAAATATATATACATCAGTCAGATCAAAGCACACACTTTGCACACAAAGGCTCTGTCAGATGTCACAGAATCATACAGTGCAACATATGTAAGAAACTCTGAACACCTCATTCACATCCTTTACTCGACAAGCACAGACCCAGGAGAATCTGGGACGGACTGGAGGTCACACAGCTTTTAGTAGCAGACGCAGAAGCAGAATCCAGGTGTTTTTCAGCCCATCCTCTATTTACTGCCCCATGTCACCTTTCCCATAAAGGGCGGATATTGGCTTTTTGAAAGTTCCCTGATTAATTAGTTCTGGTCTGTCCACTCATGTCAGATTTGAGGGCACAGACATCTTGACCCAAAAACAGCAGGTTATACCGTGGTAACTATCCTTACTTTCCTATTAACTTAAACTGAAATCCTGTATTACTTACATTGTCTTACTATGACTGATCTTAATTGAATCTGAATCATAAGACTATGGGTTGGCCTTGGCTGATTTTATTTGAAATTGGTATGCTTGTTAGTATCAACCCTAAAAGTAGAGGCAACTACTCTGAGGATGACAAGATGTAAAGGATATCCATACTGGTATTAATTAGTAACAGCTCTCAAATCCTACAATGCTGTCAAAGTTAAGTTTTTATAAAGATAGGTGATACTATATTTAACTATAATAAGCCAGTGTTGTGATCAAATCTATTGAAAATAACAAGAGAAAACAGTAACTACGGAAGATCATCTATATTGTGGTCTTATATGTCTTATCCATGGCATGTTTTTCTAGGAAATTGTTTTGCTGTCTTGCTATGACTTGGTTTTCCCTATAATACAGAGAGGATAGATATATATGTAGAAATACACATAAATTCTAGCAATACTATTGTTCGCTAATTAGAATGACATTGGACTGGTTTCTTGTTCAATTTCAGCATATGTAGAGATGGGGACAGCTATCACAAAGAGAATGAGAGATGCGATGGTAGTTACTATTGTCTTCCCTAATTTGGAACTTGAGGACCTAAAAAGCCTCCAATGATTTGATTAGTTCTATAATATGCAATAAGTATATAAAGTGGGTGAAGATGGGGACAACTATTTGTAAGAAAGTAGAGACAGATAGACAATGAAGATCTCCAGTGGACTTGCTTTGAAATCTGTATTTCTTTAAATTGTTTTTTTAACTGCTTTGTTCTGTTTTGATATGTTTAATCTTACCCTCTTTGAGATGTAAAACAAATGTGTAGGACTGATAACCATATTACTGAGCTTTTGTTTGATCATAGAGCAGAACGGTTTGTAGTGTCACTTTTTGGATGTCATTCTAAATACTTTAATTCTATAACATGAACAGCTATTTCTAAGATGACAATGTGTAACTTATCAACCAGCAATTTCTTACTGTTTTTTTTTTCTGTAAGTTTGTATTATTTCTACCCTTTTTTATCTCCATGTATGTTTTTGTTTCCTTTTCTTTAAATTAAAAAAAAAAGTTCCCTGATCAAAGCTTATGTCCAAAACCCCACCCAGAGTCCTACTGATTACAGTGACAGAATGGAATATGCTGGTCAGTGAGATAAGACAGGGCTGACATGGTCAATAAAGAATCTTGGGAGAAAGGAGATTTCACTATTGACAAAAATGTGAAAAACAGTATGTGATCACATTTGAGGGTCAGGATGTAGCTCTGTGGCACAGAGCCCTCTTGGCAAGTGCAAAGCCTTGAATTCAATTCCTGGCACCAAAAAATGAATAAATAAATAAATCACATTCTAGTAAAAAAATGTTTTTGATCTTACTTTTATAAAATCATGTCGAAACAATATTTTCAAATCCTGATATTCACAGAATTATCTATATAAATTAATGTCACTAAATTTGACAGTGAAAATATAGAAAGAGACATTTTATGTATGAAAGGACTACTCTTAGTACAAAAATATGAATTGATCCAGGCAGGTATCGTGGTATTAAGAAAAAGACATCTGATTGCATTTAGGGAAATATATTAGATATTTAGAGAATTAAGAAATCATCACTCTTATAACATTGTTTTAAAATATTTACTCACCTCAATCTTCTTCCAGAGAAGTTAGACTATATTTTATTGAGTAAAATGGGATGCAGAGTTAGAGAGTACAGAAAGCGTGGATTATGAGCAACTACTTACACTTTGCTAAGTGTTTCACGTGCATTAACCCATTTATCTTTCACAGCGGCCCTTTGTTAGAAGGGAGCTAAAGCACAGGAAAAAGGAAGTGCTTGCCCCAGTTCACTCAGGCAATGAGTAGCTGAGCCAGGATTAGGCACCAGACACCAGGCACACTGAGCCAAGGACCATCCAGTGAATCTCTGTGCAACATGGAAATCCTACTGCATGGATCAATGTTGCAAGAATGACATGCATGTGTTGCACCATATTACTAAGTTTTTGTTGGATCATTGAACAGAACTCTTTGCAGTCTCACTGTATGCATGTCTACTTTGTATGCTTTAATTTTGTAACTTGAACAACTATTTCTAAGAGGACAATATGTAATTTATCAATTAGTGATTCCTTAGTTTGTTGTTTTGAAATTATGTATTATTTCTACCCTTTTTCTGTTTTGCTTTTGTTTCCTTTTTAAATAAAAATTTTTAAAAACAATAATGACATGCACCTTTCCATGCAAAGCCATACACATGGAAGTTGATTGCACTGTATTCTGCCAAAAAAATTTTAAAAACTACCGAAGAGGCTAGGGAAAACAAGGCTGTCTCGGTCCTAGAAAGAAAGGCATGAACACTCCAGGACATGACTTTGGCATGCTTCCTTTACATTTTTGTCCTGGGTCAGGGTTCCAGTGTCCTAATACCATCCAGGAAACCCCAAACACCCCACCCAGATGACCATCTGTACCAGACTATTCAAACCACATTCCTCTCTTACAATTAATCAAAACTGCACTCCAGATTGTAGCTGATCTCAATGAAGCTTTCAAATAATAAAGAGATTAGAGCAAAAATATATGATGAATGGACACTTAGCCTTTCCTGAGAATTTTTTTTATTAAAGAAAGAGTACTTATATTTATACTTAAAAACACAAAGATTTTTCTCTAACTGGTAAAGTTTCAAGTATCATTTAGAATTTAAAAATTTCACCTAGCATTTTCCTAGACCCTGGAGAGATGGACATCAAGCTGACCACCACTCTGAGAACCAGACTCTGACCAGCAATTCTGGACCTTTTCTCACCTCTAAAGCTATCTATTTTTTTAATCATTCCACATATTTTTTCAGAATTTCCCAGGGCAACAACAATTAGCAAGAGCACCGCAGATTATTTTCATGTTCAAAATTTAAATCTTTACCTCATTCTTACCATGGTCATTTTTCTAAATCTGCCCCCTTAACACCGTCACACAGCCACTCCTCCACTGTCAGACCTGTGGCCAGCAGTCTACTCACGGTAAGACTCAGTTTCCTTGTTTGAAAAGTGAGTGTTGGAAGACCTAGAGTTTGCACAATTTCCCATGATCTTTTCACCAAACACTCCATAAATCAAAATTAATTCTTTAATGATACTTCTCAGAGGAGCACTGATAATCCCAACTAATTTGATAAATTTCAAAAGGTAACAGGCATTTTTCTCAAATTTTGTTCTGGGAATAGATAGACATTAAAATACCATTAGGCCTTCTGGTCTAAAAAATAGGGCTTAACAAAAATGTCTAGAGTGTTTGCAAATAGCTCTCTTAAGAGGTATAACTAACTGAGATTCCCCATCTTTAAATTGCTGGACCAAGACATGTGAAACAGTGACAGAATATTAATAACC